GTAGACAAAGAATATGCAACAAAATCTTTAACAAATTAATCTTATTTACCTAACCAATCTGAATTATTTAGTCATTTTATGGACTTTTAGTGTCCCAGCATAAACAAGGATTTATAAACTATGAAGGACTGAAAAGTAGTTTAGACTTTTTAGTTTTTCTTTTCAACATGGAGCATGAAACATTTCCAAATATCACGGTTGGGTAACTTAGCACATAAAAAGTGATTTCAAAAGAGTTTTCATTCTAAATGAAACTAAGACAAAACTGGACTGAAAGTCTCAACTTCATTTCTGGACATTTATGGTTTGATTTCTTTGTATGTATGGATCATTTGGGTTGTTACCAACATCTGGTGAAAATTTCATGTCATTAGCACCTCTAGTAATATATTTACTGAGAAAAATGTTGACGTGTTCAATACTTATTTTACCTGCTGTATTTCACAAACTGATGAGGAGATATGCAAAAAGTCGGCTGTCATAAAAATCAAACAAAACCTTGATAATGTGTGCTAAAACAAGATATCACCAGGCCTGATTGCCCAACACTGAACAGCTAAAGCCATTAGGCGTTTGGTTGAAAATAAAACAACAAACCGCCTTTTTAAAAAGTGCAAAACCACAGTGGATGCTTTAACGCAGATGAATGGAGTTCTGAGAGCAGCCAGGATCGGCAGCAGCCTGCCTGTATCCTGTTTAATGTTTGAAAGCTTTAGATCCTGAGAGCATCTGCCAAATCCTGTCATCGCTTCTCCAAGAAAACATCAATCACCCGAGGCTCGCTTGTCTCCACAGCTGAACCATTTGTTAATTACAGACTTTAAATTTTCAATTTATTCGCACGTCTGCAGCACAAGAACACATAAACTATTAAAGCTGTTCAGAAAAGTAATGGCGACGTCACGTGAGTTATTCTCAACTTGGTGAAATTTAGAGCATTTTGGAAGTTTGCTAAAAAAAAAGTGCAGCTTCTCTGTTAGGTTGATTTAGCAGCGGGAGAATTAACAGCTCTCTGAAAAGAAGCTAAAAAAAAGCTGAAGGTCATTTTTGATTCTGCTTGATCAGCACAACAGGCGTCTGTCATGATTAATGCTGTGAGACATGAAGACCTCAGCTCTGACTGGAATTTTAAGTGATGCCGATTCCTCAAATAAAAAATTGTTCTGCCCTGGTGGTGAAAATAAAAACAAATGTTTCCATCCTTCATTCAAGACCAGAACTGTTATTTAGATTTCCCATAAACAGGACAAGCACTGGGTGATGGTGTTGTTAGACTCCAATCAGGAGGAGGAGGAGCCTGCAGCTGATTATCTGAACTGATGTCTCTAACAGACAAGAAGTGATAGATTTWAAAAAAATAGAATGCAGAGCTACAAAAAGTTGAGTTAAAAGGCAAAGCTTTTAAAATGAGGTATCTTCCTTCCTGATAGCCTGGCTCAGCTTTAGAGCTAGGTTGAGGAACTTACAGTTGCTGCTCCTCTGCATCTCAGCAGAGGTGGTAATAATGTCTTGTTCTAATCTTGTTCTTACATAAATATAATAATCTGAGCAATTAAATGGTGTAAATGACACCACAATTTGTGTTGATGTCAGTAAGATCAGCAGAAATAGGATTTATATTAACACTTTTTACAAATTTGTGGTTATCTTATGTGATCTTTTTGTATGTTTTATTCTATTTGGTCTGATTCCACAGCTGGATAAAAGCAGTTGATAAACTTAGCTTGGACTGAACCAAGTCAAAGATGAAGAAGGGGGATTTGTAACGTGTCCATTCTTTCAATATTGCTTTTAA